GGTAGGGCATTTGCCTTGCATGCAGCTAACGCGGTTGGATTTTCTGCATCCCATGTGGTCCCCCAAGCACCACCAGGAGTAATTCCTGAGTGCAGAGCCAGGAGCAACCCCTGTGGATTGCCGGGTGTGACCCAAAAAGCAAAAAAATAAAAAATTAAATAAAGCTAATGCTTTTATTTATCATAGTGTAGACTAGACAATAGTGTTGATGTTTATGGTATCAATGTCCAAGATGACTGCACGCCCTCCCCACCCATCAAAGTGCCCAAGATCCTCCTGCACTGACCCAGTGTCACCCTGCGCTGGTCTGCTCTTCCTCCTCCCTCCCCTCCCTCTCCCTGGTAATTGGTTTTGTATTCCTAGACTGAGGGCTTGTCATCACGGTATACCTGCCCTTGTTTTGTTTCTCTATCCCACTGATGAGTGAGAGTGTTAACATTTATCCTTCGGTCTCTGACTTAGTTCACTTAACATGATACTCTCCAATTCCACCCTCGGTGTAGCGAACTGCAGGATTTCATCTTTCCTTGCAGCTGCATAGTAATCCACTGTGTACAGGTGACTCAACTACCTGCATTCATCCGTCATAGGGCACAGGTTGTGTCCACACCATGGCTACTGTACTGAGAGTGCAGTGAGCATAGGTGTGCGCATCTTTTTGAATGAATATTTTTATGTTTTGGGGGTGAATGCCAAAATGTGAATCTCTGGGTCAGATAGTTCTATTATTATTTTTTTTTAATTTGTTTTGTTTTGAACCAAACCTGAAGGTGTTCAGGACTTACTCCTGCCTCTGTCTTAGGGATCATTCCTGGCGGGATCATCCCTCGACTATGGGATGTCAGGGATTGAATCTGGGTCAGTTCCATGCAAGGCAAGTACCCTACCCACTGTCCTATCTTGCTAGCCCCTATTCAAATGTTTTTGGAGAGTCCCCATACCATTTCCCATAGAGACCGAACCAAACGCCATTCACACCAGCAGCGGGTGAGAGGTCCTTTTTCACCACATCCTGTGGGAGCATCCTAGTCATGTGATGGAGAAGCAGGAAATAAATTATGGTCTCAAACAGCTTACGTTTTAGCAGTCAAGATAGGTGGTCACCAAGTAGAGTGCATGATACAGAGGGGAAGTGTGTATAAACATTATACATTGGTAGAAACCCAATGGAGAAAAATCAAGCAGGCAGAGGGAGAGGAGACACAGAATCAAATGCAACGTGAGATGGTGGGGGTGAGGCAGGGGCCTAGCAGGCCTCCCAGAGAAAACGACATTGGGATAGAGACTTTGTGGGGCTGAGTTGAATAGCTCAATCCAGGGACTGGAGCGATAGTACAGTGGGTAGGGTGCTTGTCCTTCACCCTGGTTCAATCCCCAGCATCTCTTATGGTCCCCTGAGCACCGCCAGGAGTGATTCCTGAGTGCAGAGCTATGAATAACCCTTGAGCATAGCTGGGCATGGCCCCCAAAGAAAACAAAAAACAGCTCAATTCAGGCATCCAAACCTTCCAAACAGCTCTCGGTGCCTCAATCCTAAGTATTTACAGTCAGCCAGATCTTCAAACACTTGAGGAAGCCTTTCATTGTAAACCAGAAATATAAAATAGAAACCTAAGAGGAACAAAGGGAAGGCAGGAAAGGGGACAGGCCCGAGGGGCAGTTGGGGAAAAGGAGACAAAGGTGGAAGGAAGGTGACAGTGGTGGCGGGGCTGGTTTTGGAGCAGTGAATGCCTGTGACAAAACATCCTGAACAACTTTGTAAAGCCCTGTGTTTCAATAAAGTAGGGCAAAAGAAAGGAAAAAAGGAAAGCAGAGCCAGGAACTATAAGTGAACTTTCCCTTTACCTTCTTTCAGTGTTTTTCATTTGGGACTGTGCTGAGGGCTTAACCCCTCACTCTTCCCTGCTCTGCTATCTCTCCAGCCCCAGAAACAAACTTTTAAAAAAAAAGTCCCAACTATCATTAAAATCTTTATTGAGGTAAAAGAAGTGATTGTTTCCCCAATAGGCAAGCACAGTCACCTGAAAGAGGTCAGGTATTGGGCTGGAGCCATAGTATAGCACAAAGGGCACTTGCCTGGCATGCAGCCAAGCCAGGTTCCATCCCCCCCATATCCCATAGAGTCCCCTGAGCACGCCAGGAGTGAGAGCATACAGCAGGAGTAAGTCCTGAGCACTGCCAGGGGTGGCCCCAAAACAAAACAAGCAAAAAAAAAAAAGGTAAGGAAATACCTAGATGAAACAGAAAGCAACATCATCCAGATGTTATAGAGCAATTGGAAATCAAAACCATGATACAGGAAATTAGAAACTCACTTGAAGAGCAGAGTGCCTGCAGGCTCAAAGCCTGGGGTTTTCTCCCTGCCACCACAGTCTCTCGAACACGTTGTGGTGAGAGCCCGTGTTCTCAGGCCCTAGCACTGAGCGAGCCCAGGGAACAGGGACAAGCATTGGCGCCTTGCCGTATCACCTGGCCAGCCCTCTCTCCTCAAAACACAGAAGAGAAATCAGAGGGGGCTGGAGTGATTCCCAGCATCCCATATAGTCACCTGAGCACTGCCAGGAGTAATTCCCGAATGCAGAGCCATAAATAACCCCTGAGCATCGCTGGGTGTGACCCAAAAAGCAAAAAAAAAAAGAGAGAGAGAGAGAGAAATCAGAGAAATGCAGGGAGAAACTCTCAATTATCTAATTCAAGCAAAATCCTCAGGTGAGTGTCAGCATACTGCATGGGCCCTGCAGTCTAGGCCTTCCCCAGGCTTATCACTGCAATGGTTCAAAGCACAGGACTTTGGGACTGGAGCGATAGCACAGCGGGTAGAGTGTTTGCCTTGCAGGCAGTCGACCCGGGTTCAATTCCCAGCATCCCATATGGTCTCTGAGCACCGCCAGGAGTAATTCCTGAGTGCAGAGCCAGGAGTGACCCTGGGCATCACCGGATGTGACCCAAAATGCAAAAAAAAAAAAAAAAAAAAAATCAGAACAACAACAAAAAACAAAAGCACAGGGCTTAAGGGTCGAACTCAACACAAGCTTTACAGAGCCAAAAGCAGCCAGAAGCAGACGGGCCAGGAAGTAGGGCTGGGGTGTGCAGAGGCAGGGCACACGCCTGGAATCTCGAGTACCCTCTGCTCGGCTGGTCTCCTGAGCAGTTCAGCTGACTGCGACCACAGCACATTTCCTTGCCAGCAGTGTGGGTTTGCCATGGTTTCCCAAGACTGAGATGCAGTGCTCGGGCTATTTTGGAGCTAAAAAGAGTAATATAGGATGATAAGGGCAAACTCGAGCTAGTGCTCACTGCTACAGAGGGAGAAAGCTGGGACACACAGACTTGTCAGGTGTTTGTCCATCCTCTCCAAGCATAGAGGAGCTGTTTTTTTTTTTTTTTCACTTTGGGGGCCACACCTGACTCAGTGTTTGGAGATGAGCTAGCAGTGTTCAGGGGACTCTGTGGTAAGGAGGCGCGAGTCCAGGGCTTCTGCATGCAAGGCCTGTGCTCCAGGCCTGCTGAGCCAGCTCCCTGCCCCCAACACCTTTTCTTGTTTTTTGATCCACACCTGTTAGGGATCACTCCTGGCAGTGCTTGGGAGACCAGCTGGTGCCAGAGTAAACATAGGTCAGCTGTGTACAAGGCAAGTGTCTTACTCTTTTTTTTTTTTAAATTTTTTTGCTTTTGGGGTCACACCCAGTGATGCTTAGGGATTACTCCTGGCTCTGCACTCAGGAATTACTCCTGGTGGTGCTGGGGGGACCATATGGAATGCTGGGAATCAAACCTGGGTCGGCCGCATGCAAGGCAAATGCCCTACCCACTGTGCTATCGTTCCAGCCCAGTGTCTTTCCCTTTGTATTATTCTCTACTGGCCTCCATCTTTTAACCAGAGGAAGGTCTATAGATCTTCAATAAAACTATGTATCCTTGGGTACGACACTTGCATGCTGTCAGCCCTGGTTTGATTCCTGACATTCATTCCATCTGGCCCCCTGAACCTGCCAGGAGTGATCCCTGAGTGAGAAAGTCCCTTCGCGCAGTCTCTTAGCATCACTAGGTATGTACCCTCCTCCCCGCAAAAAATCCATGAAAACTATCCATCCTCTATGTATACCATTGGTTTAACACATTATAAACTGGGCTGCTCCTTAGAACTGGGAAGTAAGAAAAATTTATAGCAGCGTTTCTGAACTCTTGAAACCACACGTCTATTGCTGTGGTTAACTAGAATTTTGCCAGGAACTGGACATCAGGATGTTGAGGCATTGTACCTTTGACACAATCATATGTCAGAATCTGTCAAGAGATTCTGTCCAGATAGCTGCAGCTCATTTAACTACAACCTCACTCTGGTTGAAGAGTTCTGCTTAGTACTTGCCGATCACACAAGAGAGATCAAAGGCTTTTCCTCTCTCGTCGTTTAAAACAGCAGTGAGAGAGTACAGAGAGGAACCGGTCGACCGGACCTTGATGGAGGAGCTTGGGAGTAGACCAGAGGAGAAAAGGATTGAAGATGTGGAGCTTGGTGTGCAAGGTCACAGAATATGAAATCATGGGGGCCAAAGCGATAGCACAGTGGGTAGGGTGTTTGCTTTGCATGTGACCAACCTGTGTTCATTCCCCGGCATCCCATATGGTCCCCCGAGCACCACTAGGAGTAATTCCTGAGTACAGAGCCAGGAGTGACCCCCCCAAAAAAATATATGAAATTAGAACCAACTCATGGTGTGGAGTGGGTGAGGCTGTGAGGTGGCTCTCGCCTGGCCATGTGTGCTGAGTCACTGTGCCTCATGGGGGCAGCTAGCAGGATCATCATCGGCTGACTGGTTGGGGTGGGGGGGCGTGGGGTTAGGGTCCCTCGGAGAGGTCAGGGAAGTTCAAGCCCAAAGGAGTCAGGCAGGGCTCTGACTGAGCTCTGAATATTACTCAATAGCACTGAAACCACACACTTAACAAGTTTGTCATTCTGATATGAAATTTTAAAAATCACATCAATTATTTATACTCAATGATAATAACAGGCATTTATTTCTAAAGTAGGGAGCAAATATAAATATGAATAAAGCCTTACAATGATTTTCATTTAAGGTCTTGACAATAGAAGAATTGAACAAAAATCACTCATCTGTGGGTGCCCTTTATTACAAAAATTAAGCATTCATACAGAGAATGTAGAATATATTACCTTAATCTTGAAATTCTAGAACAGACAAACTTCATGTAAAGGGATTTTAAGTTTTGGGAAATTTGAGGGGTGACAGGAAAAGAAAAACATTTAGGTCAGTGTTTCTCAAACTTGGTTTCACTTAGACATTCTTGGGGAAGAGGCTATTTTCTAGGATGGTATTTTATTTTTTTATGTTTAACTTTTGTGGGTAATTTCAACTGAATTAATAAAGACTTGCACAGAATCATACTCTCATGTGACTGAGCACTCACACCTGTAATCCTTGTGGTACCAAGTGAAGATGGTCATGCCAAACTATGCATCTACAGCAAAACATGTCCTAGAGTCTTCACTGAATTGTTGGACTTTCCTTTGAGAACCAGGAGTAATCCACACTTAGAACACTTTAGTAGTTCTTGGACTAGGGTCAGGTGGTTTTGTTGACCCCTTTGGTCTGTCTGAAGAACCTACAAAATACGCATAGCTATCATCTGCAATTCCTGTAAAGTCAAACCGAATGAAACAACTGCAGCCAACTATAGATTCATGTTGGAGCAGGAGCTGGGGTAAACTTGGTTGAGAAATACTGACTTAGAGGTAGAGGCATCTGGAACATGGCAGGCATCAGAGACAAGTGCGAGGAAAAAAAGAACACCTTTTGGGTCAGAGGATGAACGATGATTTTAACTTATCACAGTTAGGAATCCCCAGGAGGGCCAGTCCAGGAGAACCCGAGATTAGCCTCTCTGGCCCTGGGGTTTGTGGCAAGTTGGTTCCCTTTTATTAATACTGAGTCCAAAAGAAGAAAAGACTGATTGTGCTCCCCCAATCACGCCATGATTGTTTAACGTATTTTACAATTTAAAGTAAACAGTTGCCCAGGCTGAGTGAAGGCAGGCGCATATCCGTCCACCAGATGTATGGTCATCCTGGACCATATACTGCAGCTCTCCACAGGGACGTCCGTCTGGGTTTAGCTCTGCCAGAGAGAAATAGCACTTTCAGGAAAATCATGAGTTGGCTTCCATTCAGACTTTTTAAGTTGTAGAATATAACCAGTTGGCACCGAAAGCAGTTGTGTTTTAGTGTAAGGCCTAAGGACAGGAAGAAACCCAGGGTTTGAGTGATAACACAGCAGGGAAGACACTTGCCTTGCATGTGGCTGACCAGGGTTTGATCCCCAGGACCCTGTCTGGTCCCTGGAGCCCCACCAGCAGTGATTCCCGAGTGCAGAACCAGGAGTAACCCCTGGGCTTCACCATGTGTGGCCCCCCAAACAAAAACCGAAACAAACACCAAACCCAGAGGCATTACCTGCTGTGAAGAAGTAACAGAATAGTGGTTAGATGGTCCCTTCCATTAACTATGTCACGTCACTTCAAAGGCTCATTGTTTTTTTTTGTTTTTTTTCTTTTTAAAATGTCCTGTTGTGATGCTGAGGATCATCACCATAAAATTGTCTACGCTGATTGCTCACAAGTAAGGTGCTAACTAGTGGGAAATGAATAACACGAAAATAGCATTTTGGTTCAGGAGATAAATTTCTCACTTGACAAAAAAAAAAAAAGTAACAACAACTAAAAAAAAACAGAGTTTCTGTGTGTGAGGGGCCTCACTAGATGTGATATAGCAGTGACAAGCTGGGAAAGTGGGGAGCTGTGAGCCCCAATCCTCACAGTATTTCCCTGGAAATTTCTAGAAAGGGCTTTTCCCCTCCAATTTTCCCACTGAACTAAGGCTCTCTTAAGGATAGAAATTTAGAAAACAGCTTTGGTGTTTGAAGAGTCAAATGAGATCGATTTGCTTTGCTAACATGGGAAAGGCAGGACATTCTCTTGAGTTCTTGGTATACTAGAATAATCTAAATTGTTTAGACATGCCCACTAGGATTCTCAACTCACTTTGCCCTTGCTTTCTGTTTTCTGATTCCTCCTACTCGTCACCTCCGAATCTGCAGTCCCTGGACTGAAGAGGGCTCAGCCCCACGCCCTGTCCCGAGAAAGGCCTTTTTTCAGTTATGGCCCCTGTTCCTCATGCCTAGCCATCACAGGATTCGTTTTCTGTCAGGCTTTATGTTCTTGTTCTGGATCCGTCCACTTCTCTAGAACATAAGTTCTGTGGCATCTTTTTGTTCATCACTATTCCTCGACCTGGTGAAGTGTCTGGCCCATAGTAAATGCTCAATAAACATTCAGTTATGTTTTCTTTTCTTCTTTATCCATAAATTTATTTTATTGATTGGGTCACCTGCACTACTGCTCAAGGGGTCATTCCTGGCTCTGCACTCAGCAGTCACCCCTAGTGGTGCTTGGGCGACCATATGAGATGCGGGATCCAACCTGGGTCTGCCACTTGTAAGGCAAATGCCCTACCCTCTGTACTATCAATCTGGCCCATTGGTTATTTTTCTTTTGGAGGGGAGGGTTGAGGCCTACTGGGTGATACCTCTGGGTTTATTCCTGATTCTGTGCTCAAGAGTTCACTCCTGGCAATTTAACTCCAGGGGTTAAATGCAGTGTTGGGGTCTGCCACATGCTAGAAGAGTGCCTTACCCTCGTGCTCTCTCTCTCCAGCTCCTCAATAAACATGCGTTGAATGAAGATTGAGTGAAATAGGATCTATTCCCATTGGCACATCAGTCCCTTTGGGAAATGCTGGTTCTCAAATCCCACCCCCAATCCTTTTTCCAGAGCTTTTACTCCTGGGTCTTAGCAGAAGGTGGGAGTTGGCCTTTGGGAAAGCCAGGCTCTGAGTGTGAGGGGCCACCTCCTCTCCGCTTACCTGGCATCACTGCAGGACTCCCATCTGCTTCAACCGCATCAGCAGCTGCCCGTTCTCATGCATTTTCTCCAGGTCAGAGCATCCTCCGATGCACTCAGTGCCCAGGAAGACCCTGGGGACCTGTGGGGCAAGACAGACCAAGGCGGCTAAGACATCACCTTTCGACCTTCTCCTTTTCCTTTTGTTTGTTTGTTGCCACACTGGGCAATGCCCAGGGCTTACTCTGGGCTCAGGAAACCATATCTGGTGCCAGGGATCAAACCTGGAATAGCTACCTGCAAGGTGAAAGCAATTTACGCCCTCTATTACCTGCCCAACCCCCAGTGAAATTTTTAATAAGTGGGAAAGGTGTGTGTGAGAGAGAGAGACAGAGAGAAAGAGACAGAGAGAGACACACAGAGAGGAGAAAGAAAAGTGCTTGCCATAGAGGTGTTGGGGGAGTAGGAAGGAAACTGGGGACATTTTTGGTGATGAAGGGACTGGTGTTGGAACATTATATGACCGAAACCCAATCATGAACAACTTTGTAACTATGTATCTCCCTGTGATATATATATAAAAAAAAAAGGGCCTATATTTTCTCACCAGTCACCAGAGACTGACATGTTCATGCTACTCCTAGTTGTGACAAAGGGGGTGACCTTGTAGGGGGCCATTAAAAAAAAAAGCAGGAAAGGTGAGAAAAGAGTTGAATTCTTTTGGGAAGTCCATTCAGGATTCCTACGAAGAAGAGGATCTGGTGCAGGGAGGCTTTAGGCTCTAGCCAATAAGGCCGAGCACTGAATGCCCTGCTTCACGTGGCCGTGGTCAATCCCTGTCTCCCAGGAGTGGGAAGCCTTACACAGAAGTGGCATCCATGAAAGATCCCAGTCATGGCCTCTTCCACGATGCCTGGGGCTCAGTTCTGCAGCCTGCAAATTTGTGCTGTGCACGTGTAAAAAGTACCATCAAGGCAAGTGGGAAGATGAGATCAGAGAACAAAGTTTTTTTCATGTATTACTATTACTTACAGTAATACTTCAGGTGGGCGAGACAGTCCAAGAGCAGGACCTCATTCATGATCTTCTGGGCATTGCTGGGCAGAGACCAGAACTCTCTAGGTATGCCCCGAAAACAAAAGCAAAAGCAAAAGCAAAAAGGAAAGCCTCCTCTTCCAAATTGTGGCCTTTTAGCTCATACATCCCCCTAGAAGCACTCAGCTGTGGTCAGCTGTAGCAGGAAACAAGACCGCTGGGATTCTAATAGCTTTCCTACACACCCTTCCATATAGCCACTGTCCCCAAGAAATAAGGGTCATCAAACGGGCATGTATTCTCCCTGGAAGAAGCACCTCGCGTGCTTGTCTTTGCTCCTCCATTTCCTCTCTAGAGAAGCCTTTGTTTTCTCTCAAACATCTACTTCTCTCTCTCCCCTCACATCTTTCTAAATAAGTTTCAATAAAAAGTTTCTTGCTTCGCAGAAAGATGACAGAGAGAGAAAGAGAGAGAGGAAGAGAGAGGGAGGGAAGGAGAGATGGAGAGGAGGGAGGGAGGGAGGGAGGCATAAAAAGGAAAAGCAGTGACCAGCACTTAAACAAGGAGGGTGCACAATCATTCTTTTTTGGTTTATTTGGTTTGCTTTCGTGGGAGCCACATCTGGCGATGCTCCGGATTTACTCCTCGCTCTGTACTCAGGACTCACTCCTGCCAGTGCTCAGGGGACCATATGGGAGGTTAGGGATCAAACTGGGTTTAGGGATCAAACTGGGTTTGCTACATGCAAGGCATGCTGTATTATTGCTCCAGCCCCTGCCCGATCATTCTTGAATGGTTTTCTCCCCCATTCCAGGGCAATACCCTGGCACCCTGTGCAGGGGATGAACGCAGGGCCACCTGCCTCCAGCAAGCAAACCGTGGGCCTCAGCCCTCTGAGCATCTCCCAGGCAACTCCTCCCCCAGCCCCCACCTTGTTTCTGGACAGTGCCAGGCGAAGATCAAACACGGCTTCACACATGCAAGGCAAGTATTCTACTGCTGAACAAAAAAGAATTGAACAGGCTGGGCAGGGAGTGAGAGAATATTTTGTAGACTGGAACCCAGGATTTCAGGTGTACTACACTTGCAATGATCCTCAACCACCCCAGCACTGCTAGCTATGGCCCTAAAACCAAAAACAGATTGAACAATTTTCACTCCTCTGCTGTCTTGTCACATCTCTACTTGATCAGAACATCGACCGAGAAGACTGCAGCTAAGTCCTTTCGTAAGAATGGCCTGAAAGGGACTGGAACAAAAGTACGTCAGGTGGGGTGTTCGCCTTGCATGTGACTGACCTGGGTTCGATCCCCAGCATCCCATAAGGTTCCCCGACCATTACCAGGGGGATTTCCTGAGGGAAGAGCCAGGAGTAATGCTTGAGCGATGTCAGGTGTGGCCAAGGGGTCCTCCCACAAAACAGGTTTTCAAACTTGATCCCAGATCAGAACCACTAAAAGGCTCATTAAGAAAGACATGGAGGAGCTGTCAGGGCCTGAGAGTACAGCAGGCAGGGGGTTGCCTTGCATGCAGCCAACCTGAGTTGAACCCTTACCCACACAGTCCTGCAAGCCCCACCAGGAAGAAACTCAAGAGTACAGGCAGGAGTAAACCCTGAGCATGGCATGGTGTGGCTCAAACACCAAAAGGGTAGAGAAATAAGTGAAAGGATAAGCCCACTCCCTCCTCTCCAATTGGCATAGGAGAGCTTTTGGACCCTCACATTTCATTTCATTTCATTTCATCATCCTGTTAATCGTCGATTGCCTCGAGCAGGCCCCAGTAACGTCTCTTTCATCCTAGCCCTGAGATTATATTCACGGCTCTTTAGGAGAATGAGACCCATCATTGTTACTGGTATTTGGCATATTTGGTACGCCACGGGGAGTTTGCCAGACTCTGCCCTGTGGGCAGGCTACATTCGATAGCCTGCAAGTTTGTCCAAAGTAGGAATGAGATAATAACATGTCATAAAGAAAAGTACTGATAAGATGTCTTACATCTTATCACATATACTTCTTTTTCTTTTTAATTTTTCGATTTTGAGCTACATGCAGCTGTGCTTAGGATTTACTCCGGCACTCAGGGCTTACTCCTGGTGGGCTCAGGGGACCATAGGAGTTGCCAGGGATTGAACCTGGACTGTCCACATTCAAGGCAAATGCTCTTCCCTCCGAACTCTCTTTTGGTTCTCCACCCACTTTTACTTTTGTTTCCTGCTTGCTGAGGTCCCTGTGCCCAAGACCAGCCCCAAAGCCTTAGGGCAGTTAGGGCAGATGCTAAGGGCTGTGTACTCTGAAGCCCCACAGTCTTCAGCAGCTGTGAAACTGGACCCTCTCAGCCTCAGGCAGCAGCCTGGCCCTGACAGCACAGGCTGCCAGCACCAGCCCCTGCCCCACCCCAATCCCCTACCCCCAGCTCAGGAGCATGGGCTGCACAGTCAGTGTGGGGTGGCCTGGTGAGAAAACCGGAAGCTTGGTTCAACCAAGGGAAGAAGAGGAAGCACAGCCTCATGCCTGCTCTCTGCCCATCTCAGTCTCTGGGATTGGAGTCTGAAACTGTCAAGGAGCTGCCAGCAACCCCTTCCCCTGTAAATAGGTTGTTAACACAGTTCATCACTAAGAACAGTAATTGATGGAGAGCTTGGCTCTGTGTAAGGAAAGGGAGAACATACAGGAACAAGTGAAGTCTGTGGTCTAGAGTCTGTGCCCTGGAGTGATCACAGATACGTTTTTCCAGGTCCGGGATCTGATCAGAGGCTCTGCCACAGGTGAGCCCCAGAATGCCGAAACGTCCATGGCTCAAGTGTCTCCCTGGCCTTGATGAGGATACTGCAGAATGGGGCACCCTGAAGTTTACAACTTTTCAGGCTTTGCTCCCCAGGAAGGAATGCTCTCCTGACTTGAACCTCTGAAGAACAGGCTTCAAAGCATTCCAAAGCAAACATGAGAGACCACTAGAAGGAAAAACGTTGCTTAAGAATAAAATGAAAAACGCTGCCGAGAATATGCAGCAGGTTTTTCCTGCTGGGGAGCTGATACTGTCAGGTGGAGTTGGAGCTCCCAGAACTTCTTGCAACTGGGCTTACTTGGGACTTGCTCTCAAGTGAGTGCTCTTTGGAGGGAAACTGACCTGCTTTACTGAGGTCGGCCTGCTAAGTGTGTCTGCATCGAGGGTGGAGAGTTAGTTTGACCGCAAATGTTGCAAGTTACTTCGCACTTCTGGAGTCCGAGCAAGAGTACAGTGGGTAGGGCACTTGACTTGCAAGTAGCAGACCCAGGTTCAATCCCTGGCATCCCATATGGTCCCCAAGCCCTGCCAGCATATTCCTGAGCACAGAGCCAGGTGTAAGCCCTGAGCACTATTAGGTGTGATCAAAGGTAAAAAAGATAAAGGCCCTCCCGTTGATCGTCGATTTGCTCGAGCGGGCCCAGTAACGTCTCCACTGGAGACTTTGTTGTTACTGTGTCTGGCATATCGAATACTCTCGGTAGCTTGCCGGGCTCTCCGAGAGGGGCGGAGGATTCGAACTCGGGTCGGCCAGGTTGGCCGCATGCAAGGCGAACGCCCTACCCGCTGTGCTATCACTGGTGTGATCAAAAACAAAACAAAAAGTTAACTTATGCCCCTGCGATGGGAATCCGTGAGCGTGCGTGCGTGCATGCGTGCGTGCATGCGTGCAGGCATGTGTGTGCGTGCGTGTCTGTCTGTCTGTATGTCTTGGGCTGGAGAGACAGCGCAGGTGTTAAGGCCTCCCCCTTGCTTATGTGTGTCCATCCCTGGTCCCCTCCTCTTCTCCCGCCCACTCACAGCCTTTCAGACGGACCCGGGGCTCCAGCACTGCTGGGAGGAATCCTGGTGGTCCTCAGCACTACAGGACCCAAACCCCACTGGCTCCCTGAGCCCTCACAATGGAACCACCTCTCCTGCTGCTGCATCTCATCTGGTCTGGTTCGTTGCGGAGGGCACCCCTCACCCTTCTTATGAAGCCTTCCCTCCCCAGATAGAATCTTTTGGCAAATTTCAAGTACACCCTATTATTTACTAGTGTTGCTCAATGTAGATTAGAGCCCCAGATCCTTTTCACTGTACAATATGGAATCTTTTGCCCTCCTTTTGGTTTGTTTGGGGGTCGCACCTGGTGGTGCTCAGTCGTTCCTCCTGACTCTGCACTCAGGGATCACTCCTGGCAGACTCTGGGGATCGTCTGGGGTGCTGAGACCAGGTTACCCGCATGGAAGGCACATACCCTCTCTCCCTGCTGTACTATCTTTCCTGCCTCTCCTTTGTCCTCTTTAACCAAGGGATTCTTCACACTGCCCACCCTCGGCTGCCCTCTCAGAAGGTGTGATTTAGTTGGTGGGGGGTGATTTCGACCAGGGGAGGATGTGGATGCAAACAGGCAGTGATCAGTGTCCAGTGGCCCAGAGACAGTCCTCACACAGCTGACCTGATGCCTGGCCCAGCAGGCGCCCAAGTGCCACTTGGAGGCTCCAGGGCGGTTCTGAGCAAAGACCTGGAAACCACCGACTCTTTGTCCCTGCAGCCCCGGCCCACGGCCCTGAGCTGTAGCACTAGCCTGCCGTTTGGACTCCGAACATGCTACTCTGGCTGGCCTGCAAAGATTCACACTCACAGAGCCAAGCCCAAGCTAGGAGCCGCTCGATTTTTCCAAGGGGGAGAGCTGAGGAGATAAAGGAGCAAGCCGGGTAGGGGCTGAGAGCCCATAGGGAAGGCAGGAGGGCGCTAGCCCACACTGGGCTACGTGGGCTCGGCACGTGGCTTCCCACTGAACAGAAGTGCTGCATGGCCCCGTCCCTCCACCCACCTTCCATTCCTGTCACCCACAGCATGGCTCTGAAGACAAAGGTCCCAGCTCTCTCCCCAGTCCTGACCATGGCTGTCCGAGCTGGCCCTGCTCCACAGCTCGGTCAGCCAGGCCGCTCCTCGGGGCCCAGGGGACTGTAGCCCTGCCAGCTATTCCCGGGAGCAGAGGCTGCCCCAGCCCTCCCCCACCGCACAGTCCCTGCAAGCGCCGCTGAGTGACAGCCCTAGCGGGGCCCTAGAGAAAGGCACTGTGTCCGCCGCTCACAGCCCAGACAACAGGAACCCTGAGCCACTCCCTGACCTCAGCAAATGCACCCCAGACTCACCGTCCGGGCTCCCGTGAGCTGTTCGAAATAGTCTTGAACCTTGCCCATGTCGTTGGTGGTTGTGATATCGACGAATTCCAGAAGTCCCTGTTTGAAGGGCAGCTGGCCCAACAGCTCTTGGGTCCTCTTGCAGAAGGGGCAGGTGGGTTTGATGAACACCACCACCTTCCCGGGCTGGATTTTACAATTCACAAACTCTTGGGCCATGCTGATAGGCTCTGGGGGAGAAGCTTCAACTGCAGGTACAGCTTGGGGTGTAAATTGGCCGCCCCGGCCAGCTGGCTCCCATTTAAAGGCACCTCCTCCCTGGAGGAGGAGTTTGCCTGGTGTCATGTTCGGCTTTTAAAGAGACAGCCCCAAAGTCACTCGGGGAGGTGTGTCTGCTCCGGAGACCCCGGGATGGGCTTGAATCAGAAGCCGTGCTTAGGTCATCATCACTATCTTCGGGAAAAGCTTCTCTTCACTGAGCCTGAGCTCTGTCCTCCTGGCCGTGGAGGACAGGGGAGGGCGGCGGGTTGAGCAGGCCAGGACTCCCTCCAGAGCCGGAGTTTTGAAAGCACCACTGAATGGGCCAGGAAACAGCCCTGGAAAACCTCTCCACAGGATGTGACATTGAAATGGTGCCTTTGCATCTCAGCTGGACAGGGCTCCTGGAGCTGAGTTTGGAGTTTGCTATGAGGGTTTTAACAGAATCTGTGTTCAGCATTTAAAAAATCTGGACATTTTGTGGCAGATTCTGTTTTTCATTTGGGGGCTACACCTGGCAGTGCTCAGAGCTTACTCCTGGCTCTGTGCTCAGGGTTCACTACTGGTAGGTCCAGGGGACCATATGGAGTGCTGGGGATCAAACCCGGGTCAGCCGTGTGTAAGACAAATGCCCCTCCTCCCAGCCACTGTACTGTCACTCCAGCCCCTTCATTCTGGACTAGCTCTAAATCTGTGAAGTTGCATTGTCAGGACAAAAGGAACTGTAGCACTGCTCTGTATCACTGTCATCCTGTTGTTTATCAATTCACTCGAGCGGGCACCAGTAACTTCTCCATTATGAGACTTGTTGTTACTGATTTTTTGGCATATCGAATACGCCCTGGGGAGCATGCCAGGCTCTGCCCAGGCGGGCAAGATACTCTCAGTAGCTTACCAGGCTCTCCAAGAGGGATGAAGGAATGGAACCCGGGTCGGCCAGGTGCAAGGCAAATGCCCTACCCGCTGTCCCAAGGAAAGAGTTACTGATGCAAATGTCAGGAGGACAGGCCAGACAACCCAAACCTCCTTTCCCTGTTTTATCAGCCCACCAGCTCCATGGAAAGTGTTCACCCACCGCCTTTGTCAAGCAATTACAAAAGCACCTGCCTTTCTCTGAATACTGTCAGGAAACCTTTTCCGTAGTATGGGGGCTTCAATGCTACCTTTTCCTTTCCTTTCCCTTCTTTTATTTAGCCATCCATCTCTGGATCTCTGGCCCCTGCTTTTAGCTTTGAGTGCTTGGGGACAGGAACCCAGGTGTCTTGCCTGTGCCCTCAAAAACCATCTCCAACAGGACTGCGTGTCTCTGCAACAGTTTGTGTATCTGTGGCTGTGGTGGAAGAGTTGTGAGCCCCTTCCTCGGACACAGCAGTCTGGCTTCTGCCTGCCACAGGATCCCAACCCTCCTGCCTTCCACTGAGACACCAGTGAAAAGTTCTGGAATGCTGGAAGCAGAAGTCAACATGACCCCTTACTCAAGCACCAGATTCAATGAAGGTCTTTGTCCCGTGAGTGGGAGAGGGGAATCATGGTGACGATAGTTGGGAGGGGTCATGCTCCTGAGTGGGGAGAGTGAGAGCCTCTGTTCTCGGTCCATGACATTCATGCCACAGGCTACAGAAGCCAACTGAGGCACCAAGCTTCCTTTAAAAGAGCACCACCCTTTCCCCCTGAAGCTCTGTGTGGAAACTTCCTGGGTGTCTTCAGGGAGGTGGGATGGGTCGGGATGGGCGCAGTCTGGGCTGTCGCATCAGTGAGTCCCCAGCAGGTTGGCAGAATGAGGCAGCTGGAATACGGGCACCCGGGAGAGCGCTCATTAGTCCTGAAATTAGATGGCAGAACAAGAAAACCTGATTCTGAGTCATGGGGAGGAAGCTCTGAGTGAGATCTCAGTCAGCCAAACAGTGCGGTAGGCTGGGGCTTGGGGCCACTCGCGTGGGCCGGGACTTCCTGTCCCAGCCGTTCCCGCATCCCACGTCCATGCCATTTCCCTCTACACCTTCTGCTCCAACTCTAGTGGCCATCCCCTCGCTGGCCCTCAGGAACTCTGGACTCCACAGAACCCTGCCTTCCTAGCAATTCTGGACTCCGCAGGAACTCTGGCCTCAGACTCCAGGCCCAGCGGAGGCTCCTGCGGCCCTGAGCCTTGCTGTCTCTTCAGGGGCTTTGTCTGTGTAGTATCTGGTGTTCACTTCCCTCTCTGCTCTCTCCTCCCCTCACCCCGGCCCACGTGACTGTGTTCAAGTCTCTCCTGTGGTAGAAACCACTAGGCAGTGGTGGGGGGCAGGGAACGGAACAAGACAGGCAGCAACTCAAACCTGCTTCACTCCTTTAAGCAATCTCCCTCCTCACTCACACTGGGGGAAATCTCAAAGGGTTAAATTTTTTAGTATCTACACATTTTGGAGTAGAAAAATATTTATTGGGCAGAGGCAAATGCTCACAGAAAGCTCTCTTCTTGGAAGAAGCAAACCTTCTTCTTTGTGTCTGGATGGACCGAGGTCATCCCCACCCATTTTACAATCTCAAACCCCCAGTGGAGAAGTTCTGGCTATTAACAGTTGGGTGGGGCCACGCAATCTTGGAAGAAACTCTTAATCTCGAGGATTGCATTTTGCCCCAGCTTTGATTACATCCAGTCTTTAATTCTCCACCCCCCAAGTATAAACGCAGCCTTTGATTAGCTGGGGCATTAGAAGTCCTCGGAGCCCATTGGTTTAAAATGCTTTATCTTGTGGAATGTAAATATCTCCTCTGATGTGGGTCTCCTGCTAGTCTTAAGTGTATAAACTTAGAGTCTGGGTTTCCATGGGGAAGAAACTGCTTTCTTTTCCAGTGCAGCCTTGAAACTCTAAGACAAAGTCGTCGTTTTTTCCCTCTTGGTTTTGGGGCCATATCTGCTGGTTCTCAGGGATCAATTCTGGCTCTGTGTTCAGGGATCATTCCCGAGAGTGTTCAGAGAAACTTGTAGGGTGCTGGGAATCAAAATCTTCAGGGTCAACACTTTGGACAAGAACTGAGTGTTGGGGAGCGGGTAGTGTGTTTGCCTTGCGTGAAAAAGACCCCAGGTTTCATTCCTGGCATCCCATATGACCCCCTGAGCACCACCAGGAGTAATGCCTGAGTGCATGATCCAGAAGTAAAGGTAAAGGTAAAGGTAAAGGTCCTCCCGTTGATCGTCGATTTGCTCGAGCGGGCCCAGTAACGTCTCCATTGGAGACTTTGTTGTTACTGTGTCTGGCATATCGAATACTCTCGGTAGCTTGCCGGGTTCTCCGAGAGGGGCGGAGGAATCGAACTCGGGTCGGCCATGTTGGCCGCTTGTAAGGCGAACGCCCTACCCGCTGTGCTATCGCTCCAGCCCGATCCAGAAGTAACCCCTGTGTAATGCTGGGTGTGACCCAAAAAGAAAAAAAATGAACTGAGTGTGGAAAGTAGGTAAAGGGTTGTACATGATAACCTTGTAGCATCTGTATCACAAACCATAATGCCCAAAAGGAGGGGGGTGGGAGAGGAGAGGAGAGGAGAGAGAGAGAGAGAGAGAGAGAGAGAGAGAGAGAGAGAGAGAGAGAGAAGCGCCTGCCATAGAGAAGGGGGCCGAGGGAAACTATGGACATTGGTGGTGGGAAATGTACACTGTTGAAGGGATGGTGTTGGGGGAACATTATATATGACTAAAACTCAGTCATGAACAACTTTGCAACTGTGTCTCACTGTGATTCAATTTTGAAAAAAACACCCAAAATATTCAGGGTCAATCACTTGCAAGGCATGAACCCTACCTGCTGTGCTGGTCTCTCCATTCCGTAAAGTTCTTCATCTTCTTTTTTTTAATCCAGGAACAGAAATGATTTCTTTTAGTTAGCACATGGCAGGAGTTTCAGGTGTCCCTTATGGAATCTTCCCTGGGCCTGCCTTTCTGCTTCCTCCCTTTGATTAGCATAACTAGTTTCAGGAAGCTTTGCTCTCTGTTCTTAACCCACCTCCCACACTCTGCTTGACTCACTGTCATCAAAGCTCTTCATCAACCTTCCTGCGAAAACACCTGTAGCCCATGGAAATCAATCATAATCTCCAAGTTGCTAAATCCCCTTATCAGGAGTGTGCTGGCTGAGCCTGTCTCTGAAGTCTGGCTGTGGTCTTTTTGGTAGATGGATGCTATGGACCTCCCGAAGGATCCTTTCGCATTGAGTACCCTGGAGAGATGGAGGCAGAGGATGGGATTTGGGGAACTCTGCAGCACTTAATCACTTAATCACTTAACTTCCCGTTAGTCGTCGATTTGCTCGAGCAGGCGCTAGTAACGTCTCCATTTGTCCCTGTCGCGTGCTAGTGTAGCCCAATGGCATCTGTTCGCTCCGGGAACATGAAGAGCCTCAAACCGATCGTTCATGATCTTGACGAAGAAGTCTGACCATCTGGTAGGTGGGCGGCCACGCGGTCTTTTGACATCCCGTGGAATCCAGTCGGTAACAGCTCTAGTCCAGCGGTTGTCTTTAAATCTCATTACGTGACCAGCCCATCTGATTTTCGACACCTTGGCAAATGAGACAGCGTCCCTGATTCTTGATCGTCGATGGATGTCGGAACTCCGGATTCTTTCTCTCATTTGAGTGAAACGTGATATTCCAAGCATAGCTCTTTCTATTCTTCTTTGGGAGACCGGAATAGCATTCTCCTCCTGTTTGCGTAGGGCCCAGGTCTCTGAGGCATATGTTAATGCAGGAAGAACAGTGGAATCAAAGAGATGTGCCCGGAGCCAGAGGTTCTTCGTCCTCTTAGCTATTGCTTCGACGTTCTTGAAGGCGTTCCAAGCCGCTCTCTTCCTCTGCAGCACAGTCCCAGAAAAAAACATTGAGTTGGGTCATGGGATGGCCCAAGACACACCTCATCTTGAAAGTAGATAATGGACCAAACATGATGACCTCTCAGCATCCGTATTGCAAACCATAATGCCCAAAAGTAGAGAGTATGGGCAATATTGTCTGCCATGGAGGCAGGGGGAGGGTGGGAAAAGGGGGTATACTGGGGAGATTGGTGGTTGGGAATGTGCACTGATGGAGGGATGGGT